AGGGACACAAGTGGTGAGGGACACGACAGACTTATAAAACCTTTTGAACTGTGTATGGATGCATTCTAAAATTTAGAACATAAAAATAAGAGGTTCCCTATTCTGYTTTGATTTACTAGCACTTCATGAGTGGTTGCTCTCATTGTTTAGATTTCAGCAGGCATGTTAAGTCTTAGCTAATTTTAGGTCCTTGGAGTCCTCTCCTCTGTGAACTGCAATTTAAAATAAGATCAGATTTGACAGGTCATGCAGAGAAGAGTCCAGCTTCAGATAACGCACTTCAGATGTCTGTATTCAGTGTTAATGAGTTTTGAAGATCCTTCACTGTGAAGGGSCATAATGCTTCCTGTTGTGTTGTCAGTTCCTAGGCATTTAGGATTCAAGTCCTCAGCTGAAAACTCCTATGTGCAGAAGGTATGTCAGTCTAAGCAAAACTTTGTATGCTTCAGCGTTGTTAGTTTAAGATGACTGACAGATGTGGAAATGCRCTACTGGCTGCCACTTGAAAAATGAATTCAGGAGCTCAGACAGAGAACAATGTGGTTGTGAGTGTCTTCATCAGCCTCCTTGTTCCAGTTATGAGTGTTGTCCAGTTAATGCTGGCACTTATAGCAAAACAGAGAGTTGGAGTAAAGTGAAATAATTTCTGAAGGATCTTCATTATAGACAGAAGGCTATAGAGCTGTCATAAGATTCAACTGTAGGATGTTTCTTTTTTAAGTTTTATGATATTGTGTACTGAGACCCAGCAGCAGCAAACTCTTCTTTTGCAGGRAAAGTGTCTTTGCAACTGAAGACAGTGAGACAAATTAGGTGGGTCCTCCTCTACCATGAACTTTGCAGGAGCAGCAGAGAAAAGCTTTGAATGCAGATCAAGTGGTGTGATAGGGGATGCTGGATTCTGCTCCTGTGGTAGAAGCATGGCATTCTCAAGCTAAATAGGATAAACTTGGGAAATTCAAATTGAAGAACTCTCCCTTTTGCTAAGTGTATAAGGCCCCTGATTTTCTTTCAGATAATATGAAGGGTTTTTTGCTTTTTGCTTGTTTTTTTTTTATATTGGTTCTCAAAAGACACCACTGAGTATCCAATCAAAGTCAAGTTACTTCTAGTGTTAGAAGTGCCTCTAGGAGTGCTTCTTTAACTCAGAAGAAAGGAGAGGTTTTCTCCAAAAGCTGTTTTCTTATCGGTTGAAAGTGCGCAATAGGTGTACCACATCTTCAAGTCCAGTGATGTGGAACTGTGGGATGTAATTCACTCCAAGCAGTTTCACAAAKTCACAATTGGGTCTTCAGAAGTTTTTCTTGTTACCAAATTTTCTTGGTATCTCAGTGTCTTGCAAGAAAAGATGGTGCTGTTCTCTGCAATTACCACTCACTCCCTGGAACAYAAAGGTTCTTGCACTTCTGATAGCTAAAGCTAGCCAAAGAGTTCACCCTGTTTGACTCTGCTACTGTGAGCCCAAGTTGCCCTCATGAAAATAAGGGGAGAAGGATTTTGTCACCTTCTAGTGTGTCTTGGAGCAGCCAGGGTGCTGGCCTCTTTTACAAGTGCTGGCCTCAATCTTTGATCGTAAGAAATAACTTGTCTGTAGGGATATGATAACCTGCTATTAGATTACTCTTGATTTGAAATCAGCTGAATTTTAAGATAGTTATGTTAAAGGCGAGGCATAAATATAAAAAAAATAAAGTTTGCTTTGAGTTTATCAGAGTGCATGCAACAAAAATGTGAGGAAAATGCAATCTGTTTAACTCAAGGGAACATCTGAAAGTTGTTCTATTTCCCGTGCTTCTCTCTCTGTCATAGATGTTTATGCTAACTGAAAAGGGCAGGCCCTGTCCTTGTGTGTACCTGATGCCCAAGCTGTGTTGACAGAAGAAAACTTCAGAGCAGAGAAACACATTAGATTTCATTAACCATTCCTTGAGTTTCCTTTGTGGTATCCTGCTCCTGAGGCTGTCTTGTTCTTTCATGATAAGTTCCTACTTTTGACACTTCTCTCTTTGGTCCATTAGCAGCCTCCAATTCCCTCGGGTGCTGGTGAGGATTCATGGTGTGGCCAGGTGCCAACCTCTCCTGACCAGACTGTCAATACAGTTTGTTAGTAGCTGCCTCTCTGCCTAGCCAAACCCTGCATAATTAACTCATTATGCTGATTCCYGCTGAGCCGGGTCATTTTCTCTTTCTGTCTAGAGTATTTTTCATTCAATTAAGTCTTATATTTCACATAAATCTATAAAATTTATTTTCAGYTTATATAACCATATACCTGGCATTAATGTGTGCAGTTTGTTATTGGCCTGCTTATGATATTGGCTATAGTGGTGCATAGCTGCTTCACAATGGTAAAAAGCTTGTGATGACTGACTCCCATTTTTATAATGTTTTAGCCAAAGTGTCACTAATAACAACAATGTGTGAAGTCTGGTTTTTTCATAACAGGTTATTCAAACTTAAAATCCAGTTCTGGGTCAAATTAGAAACAAAATGCTCAAGAGTCTTTCTTGAAGAGACTCTCTTGTTCTTTCACACGTATGCAAAAGATGCCTGCTGTGGCTCAATTCATGAGATGCAGCTTCAGTGGTGTACCACAGAGGCACTTCTATCAATCAGTTTCATCAAGTTTGTAATGTGATGTCTGCTTTTGCCCTTACTAATATGTAGCCTTTTTGCTGAGGAAAGGAGAATCAGCTTGGAGGAGTTGTGCAAGTGACAGCACCTCACCACCATTATTGTGGGAATAAGAGCRGATCATCCCAAGGAGTGTTGGTAACTGGAGGTCTGTGATGGGAGGATCTTTGCAGAAGCACTGCTGAATCACTTTCTCATCTTCCTCGGTGTTACTTAACTCAGATACTCAAATGTAAATAACACCTCTATGGTGGGACTATCCTCTCACCATCTATCTGTATTTTAAATAATCATGAGTTTGAGTGGAAYTGCTGATAGCAGAAGTGGTCTGCACCAAAAACAGGGATTCATCTCAGGAAAGCCTGGATTGTGACTTTCRATTCTCAAGTATAACTTGAATTAAAATTAAAATCAGGATAGTGACCGCTCATATAGGGCATGCATCACATCTGAATTCAAACTCAGCTGCTGCCAATAGCCAAAACTGTGATATTTAAATGGAAATTCCTTTTTCCAGGGATTTGTGAAATAGTAGTGAAATAGTAGTTACTACTGCTCCAAATGTTATCAGACCTATATATAAAATAACATAATTTAATAAAATCTTGTAGRCCTAAGGTGCAGTTTGAAGTTTTATGTTTTTTGAATATTTTTTAGTGTTCGATTCTTCGATAAATGTTGTTCATAGTGATCTCTGTTAATTCTTGTTATTCGTGACAATGAAGCATGCTTGCTTGGGGCACAAGGCTTCAGGTACTTCTGTTGCTACCCATGTGAAATTTTTTCATATTTGCTTATAGTTGGTCACATCAGTTTGTGTCTTCTTAAATAATCTGTTCCACATAATCATACTGCAAATAGAAAGGATTATTGTTCCTGAGACAAATGAACACTGTGCAAATGTGTATTATTTATGTGGAAAGGTGTGTCAAATACAAGGATATAATTGATACCCTTGGATGAAATGTAATAATTCTCTTATTAGGGGTTTTCTTAATTTATATTAGAGTGGTATGGAATAGATTAGTAGAGCGTATGTAGTGTGCATTTCATGAATGAAAGATTTAACACTGTCACCATCTGATGATAAGATCTATTTTTTCCTTAAACTTTATTCAAAATTGCTGCCAGAAAGAGACCTTGCAACTTTTGTCCACCTTAATAGAGACTTTATATGACTAAAAATACATTTTTTTTCTGTCTTCCCTCTGGAGCTGGTAGTAATAAAGATGTGTCAAAGTCTGTATTTGCAACTTAGTTACTTGACCTTTCTACAACCCACAGCTACCACTAATGCTGCTTTGTAATGGAGACATTATCATTTATTTAAATCTTGATTAGGAAACAATTATAAGTAGGGTTTTAGTATAGCAGAAAATTGCTGTAGCCTTTAATTCATACTATAGATTGAGTGGATAAGCTTTCTGACTGTAATTAGAGTGAATTATAATGACTTCAGTTGGCTGACTCACCACCAGCAGAGTAGGGCCTATGATTGTTTCTTGACATTTATTTTTTTAATTCACTCTTGATTTTGCATTGCTGATAAATGCTATTTTTTAACTTTGCACAAAATGGAGTTAYATTTACAGCTGAATGATACATTTTTTATTAATAAAAGAGGAGCTTTATGAAATAATCTGGCACCTTAGCAACATTGCAGCTTCTCTTTCTTCACAATTCAAATGACAGAATTGCTGTTAATAAAGTTGGAGATAGATTCTTTCATGTGTGGTTTAACAGTGTAAAAAGGAAGCATTTCCTTTTTTGCATGCAATTAAATGGTAGACATAAATGGTTATTTTCAGTACCACTTAGTGGTATTTTCAGTACCACTTTTATATATATTATGAATGTTACATAGTGTTGCTTAAGTTTCTGAAATGCTTTGTTTTTCTTACATGAGACTTTTTTGTCACTTATTTTATTTGTTTGGGGTTTTTTTGTGGGCTTTTTTTTCTTCTTTTTTCTTTTGTATTTTCTCCAGTTTTTTTTTCAAGATACCATATGCTGCTTGATTAAGTGTAAGTGTAGAGGCATCTCCTTTGAGCAAGGGAACTTCTTTTTGTATGCCTTGTAAAAACATACAATCTACTTTATTTGTAAAGAACTACATGTATATAAGTATTACATTMGGTGTTAAACACTCAGTGGCATCATTAAGGGTAAATTTTGTTTTCTTTGCTCCCCTTCCCTCCCTTGCTGTACGAGGTGCTTTTTACCTCAGGCATACAAGTGTTCTTTCTGTCAAAATTTAGGCACAGAGTTGAATATGGTGAGTGGAGAGAAAACATGGCAAAAATAATATACTAGAAATGTTAACTTTGTTTTTGTTTTGTGTGTCTTCTCCTCCTGTCAATCTGCAGTGGATGATTCAGAAACCTCACAAAGCTGCAACATTCTTTGGGTGCATCGGCAAAGATAAGTTTGGAGAGATCTTGAAGAAGAAGGCTGAGGAAGCTCATGTGGATGCCCATTATTATGAGCAGAGTGAAGAGCCAACAGGAACCTGTGCTGCCTGCATCACTAGTGACAACAGGTCAGTGACCTTTGATGTGTTCTGAAGATACAAATACAGTTGGCATAGTGAGTGTAGCCTAATTTGCTTSGAGTATCCAGCCTTGAAAAATTGATAATTTGAATGATGAAGAGTTGGCACTGGCTTGAGACAACACAGGGCTGCTGAGGCCTTAATCTGGGGCTGGGCAATATTAATGTACTCTTAGAGAATAAGAGTTGTATTATGGCCAGARTGTGTGAGATAATATTACTACTTTCTGAACTTGATAGCTTCCACTTGCTCTGGAGAGAGAAAATRTGTGGGAGACAACAGCTGGTTAACAAGTATGTTTATGCAGCCTATGATTGGTACATATGGCTAATACTTGATTGGAAGCGAGGAATATAGCTCAGGTGATACTGTGTTTAGTGAGGGTAGGTGTCAGCATATAGCCAGATTGAAAGGGTTCATTTGATTTTAAATAGGAGAATGGAAAAAGTTTTTTTTTGCTGTTGCACTGCTTGAGAAGTTCTTGTAGTATCTTTAATTCTGTATGTCTGCATTTTAATGTTAAGAATTTCTTCTGAATTTGTCTTTCATGTTTTCATTCGYTACTTTTTTCTATTCATTTATCTTGAGCATGGCCCTTTCCTTTCTTCRTTCACCCTCTACCCAGAAGCATTGAACTTGTGTTCTACTTCTTTGCTGATTACCTTCTGACAATTTTTTTGAAGGTTTCAAAACCAGCCAATCATATTAACTTAATCTGGAGACATTACCAGCACATCAGCCCTCCCTGATTTCTGACAGCATTTAAATTTTATGGTACTACATGCTGAATCAATGAAAATGGTATCAGTTACCCTGAGGAGTATTTTCTTTTTGGCTCAGAATAAAATAACAATATCTGTCATGATCCTTTTTTGTTTCCCTCTGTGGCTTTCAATGCCATTGRTCCTGAGGACCTGCTCTTTTCCTTTCAAGACAGTATCAGGAGTTAGCAGAATTTATTACGGTGAGATAGCACAGCCGTAACTAAAGTCCACACGGTGCTTCTGGACAAATTGGTGAATGTTTTGGGTAGAATTAGAAAAGGTGGTGGACAGCAGCATGAATTGAAATGAGAGTCAGAGGAGGAAGTGTTTTSCATATAAGATGTAGGACCCTAGAACAGTTTTAATTAGAGCAGACATCTGATCCAAACTCCTGCAGAAGGCAGAACCAGCTTCAAAGTTAGATCAGGYTTTTCRTGGSCATGTCCAGCTGGGTTCTGAATATCACMAAGCATGGAGGTTGCATAAGCTCTCTGGGCAAACTGTTCAAACRTTTGATCGCTCTTCATGGGAGAAATTATTTTGATGGTACCCAGTCGCAGTATTCCTTCTTCCAGCTTGTGGCTGTTGTTTCTTGGGTTCGAGAATAGTCTGTCTCCATCTTCTCTGTAAACTTCCATTAGATATTTGAAGAAAGGAGGAAGGTCTTCTCTTAGGTACCTGCATTTGTTAAGTGTTCCAGGCTCCTGATTATCTTGATGGCCCACTGCTGGACTCACAGCACTACAGTCAGTSTCTTTTAATGGAAAGCTCAAAGCAGGACACAGAACTCCAGATAAGGCCTGGAGACACAGGTTTTCCTCTGTTCTGAATATATAACTCCCATTGTCCTCCCAGCTGCTTGTTTGCTCATATACACCAGAATGTGGTTAACCTGTTCTGTGTGGTGTGCTGCTGACTCATGTTCCAAGCCTGGTCCACCAGCATCTCCAGGTCCTTCTCTGRAAAACTGTGTGGTATCCTTTCAACATTCAGCCCATATTGTTGTGTGTAATTGCATGACTTTGCATTTACCTTCAAGTGTTCTGCCAGCCCAATTCTTCAGGCTGTTGAAGATCTATTGAATGACAGACAGCCCTGTCCTCCAGCTTATCAACCTGTCCCTCCCAATTTAATGTTGTACATAATGTCTTACTCTCAGGAATGAATGTTCATAGTCCGTGGAGGAAGGAAGTTCATTCATCTTCATATGGAGTTTTGACACTAATTATGTCTTCAGACTTCCCCCTTCATCTCCAAGATCCACGTTCAGTTTTTTAAAGAGGAGAAAAGCAATAAAGATGTTTTTGCTCTGTGACACTCTCTCTCTTCATAGTGCCTGTGTATGCATCCTGTAGCAATTCACTATTTTCTAGATAACAGAAGGGAAACTCAAGTCAAGACTGTCAATAGACAGTATGAATTCAAGAAAAACATTTGCATCTCAACGGAATTTAAAAGTTTAGATAAATTTGTTCTTAAGAATGCAAATACTTCTTTGACTTCATAAGCAGTATTTTTGGTTTGCTAACATAAGCGGTTCTATCTCCTTAATATCAAATACTTGCTCAAGTACTAGACAGTGGCTTCATCTCAGTTGATGCTTTAGAGCATGCCTGAGAGTGGTTGCTCTGAAAGGCTTTATTGTGCAATTTTCTATCCTGTGAGAGCAGGTTTATTCTCAGTCATTGTTTCTTGGGTTTTAGCATTTTTTTATATTGGTAAGAATCACTTCAACTTGGCCCCAGATGATTACTCTATTTATTRATTAATCTCTTGTCCCAACTGAGGTATGTGCTAACTTCCTTTTTCTKCTCTCTTGTCTCTTTTGGAGGATCTGGCTAATAGGATTCCTGATTTTCCCAGGAAGTGGCTGTGTATATTTATGTTTCGCATGCCCTTATATGAATGTTTTTTTCTTCTGCTAACACTGTCTAGCTTTTTGCAGGAAAGGTTTCTGAGCTGGTGTGTGATTCCCACCCTGAATTCTCTAGTTTAGCAATGCTAATATGCTTTGTTTTCTCAGAGCTTTTCAAGACAATCCTAACACATGATTAAACTCTAAAGTAATACSTACACTCTGTCATAGTCTATGACTTTGATTTGTGCGTTCTGCTTAGAAATAACCACATGCACAGTGTCTCCATTAAGCCGTTTCAATTGAAGCACTCTGGCTGTCTCCAATTACTGTATTCCATTGAAAAAAATATCTACCTTGTCTGTGCCCCACATGTTGAACTTAGTGCTGTCAGGCTTACAGTTTTAATTTCAAAAGGCTTGATGCTTTGTCCTCAGTGTAGCAATCTTTTATTACCCATATGTGCAGAGCATCTCTGCAGTTGGGTGTAGCCACAGAGCTGGGTTTACAGTTTCAGGGGCATGTGGTAAGTGAAAGGAAACATATAGAAAGTCTTTGCTCAGTTCTCTGGAACATAATTGCTTTTCACTTAGCAACATACGTAGACAGACAATATTTTTTTTTCCAATGTCCTTGATGGATRTTTAGGGTTTGCCAAAACTGAAAGATTTAATTTGCTTTTAAAATTTGATTTACAGAAAATTACCACAGTTATCCACATGTCTTTCTTGGATTTACTTGGTTTTCCAGTGGATTTCTTGTCACTGAAATGATTATACTCATGAAGAATGAAACTTGTTGCCCTGTTACTTGTATTGCTACATATGCTTGGTGTATTCGTTCATAAATYTTTCTATTTTCCTTTTTTTCCCTTTTCCAAATTCACATTAGTTCTCATTGCCTTTAGGTTTTAGAATTAAAGACATAAGCCCCTRGACTGTTGATGGGATGAAATGACACAGAACTGTGTTTTTTATATATTCAGAGAAACTTAAGTCTAACTTTGTTTTCTTTTTCATATACATGATCTGTTTAATTTACAAGGATTGTTAGTGACAAGCACATAAAGAAGTTTGCAGGAAGAGTTGATTGCTCTGTTYGTAGAAGTTTTTCTTTTGGTCTTTTGTTTGTTTTTATTAAATTATTTTTTCAAGAATGTCTCCTTTACTTCCCTCCTAACACCTGAACATGGAAATCAGCCTGGAGGCAGAAGCATATTCAGTGAAAGCAGATGAACAGTTTGTTCCCACCCACTGTCTCTGGGTTGTAGTAGCATTTACATGGAAGTGGATGATGCCTACAACACCAATTATATGCACCTTGAGAAGGCCAAAGTTTTCAATAGCCAAGTGTTGGATCTGTAATTGCACGTTAATTATCTGGCTAATGCACTTAAATATCACAAAACAGTGATGTGTTAATATAAAAGCGCATCCATTGACTATTAAATCTTGAAAATTATATTTAATCTGTATCTTATCATGGAAGTAATCTGTTTCCTCAATTGCCTGTCTCTAAATAGTGCATGTTATTAAACAGTCTCATAATGCAATTTGAATATAGAAGAATTTGGTCGTGGTAGCCARAGTGGAGAGCAAGAGCACAACCATATTTTTACGGCCTCTTTTGAGGAGTACATCTGTAAGTTTTGTGTGTTTCATAAGGCTGAGTCGAGTGGGTGAAGATTCTATTTAAAATAGAATGTATCTTGCAATATGACACAAGTATTTTTGTTCTTGGTAATGGAAGTTGTGTCCCACAGCTTGTGTTATAACTTGTTAGGAAAGAAGGAAGTACAAATGAGTTTTTGGTAGTTTTCCAGTTATCCAAAGCTAAGCCAAAGATTTTTGTAACAGTTCATCATCTAAAAGTAGTAACCTGACCCTTTTTTGTTTGCTAAAGGAGAATATGAACCCAATGGGGGGAAAAAAGCCCCAAAAGCCCCTTTTTAAATAATGTGGCTATTCATTGGAAAATTGTGAAGGCAAAAATTACATATCCATCGACCTTTTGCTTCTCRTGAGGGAAAATAGTTTTCAGAAGATAAACTGGAGTAATTACTTTTCTTTTGGTGTTAGGTACTAGAGGAGTTGTAATGGAAATCTGCTGACGCTGACCCATRCGGAGGGAGTTGATCACAGAGTGCAACAAATGATTCAAAGCAAACCAAGGCACCTGTACAATATAATAGTGATAGGTTACCTAAACTATGTAACTGGATTTAGAATACATTATTTAATATATTGTTTAAATTATACATAATCTCTTAAATATATTATTTGTTTTTGATGAAATGGTCAAATAAAGTATATGTGGCTTATGGTACTCTTTGCTAATTGCTTTCATGTTCTTTAGGATCTTTGAGAAATTATGTTCATTGTGAGAAATTTGCAGTAATGTTATTTACAGAGAGTCTCATATCTGTTTTTAATCACTTTCAGGTCTCTTGTAGCTAATCTCGCTGCTGCTAATTGCTATAAGAAGGAAAAGCATCTTGACTTGGAGAAGAACTGGAAGTTGGTGGAAAAGGCCAAAGTTTATTATATAGCAGTAAGTTCAACCTCTTTCAAATTGCTGAAATTGTGTTAAAATATCCTAAARTTTAAGCAAGGAGTATGTCTACCGCATGTGGTTTAGGATGATTTCATAGGAAGACAGGGAAAGAAAATGACTGCTTCAATTTCAACATAGTTTGATTTCTTCAAATTTAGATGTACAACTGTAGAGGCATGTTTTAATTGCATGTTCTCTTAAATTGGTGGGGAAAATCGTAAGAACTAAATGTATTTTCAGAGCTTTTGTAGTAATGCATCAAATTTACATTTCACATTTTCWAGTAAATTGTTGTGAAGGATGCACAAATTATGTAGAAAAACACTATTAGCATAATTATTCACTGCAAACAGTTTGAGCTTATTTGTGTGAACAATCTTAATTGCTATTTATTCCATAGTAATTACTATGGCACCTTATAACTCAAATATTTCAGAAACAATGATTGTGACAAATCTCTTAAATGTGGGTGGTGGGGCAAACTGATTTTAATGTTGAAATCTTACTTTTGGAATAAAGGGGGTTTGAGAATGGGGCATTAGCAGATTCACCACTACTGTTATTTCTTTACCATCCCAAATGAATCAAGCCAGATTAATGTATTTGTGTAGATTACGTCTTGCCTAAATAGAAGTGGTGAATATGTCTTCATCTTGCTCTCAAGTTGATATGATGGATCAAAATTAACAAACATAAAACATCTATGACAGATTAAAACCTCATAACATGCGTGTAATGTATGGATTCTCTCTGACAGCTGTTTCCATTCTGCTACCTGAGCTATGTGGGAACAGCTGGTAAGAAGTGTAAAAAATTGATTATCCAGGAGGAACAAGTTCATTGAAAATAGTTATTTCTTTTTGGTAGTGTTAATGTCTCCTACAGCCTGTTAGTGTTCACTGCTGTAGGCTTTACATGGTTGTTATTGATTCTTGTGTATGGCCAAGACTGCCCCTTTATAACTGTCAAAAAGTAGTTACAACCTTCTGAGTGTACAAAGAAAATATATCCCGCTGTTATGGCCATATGCTTGTGCTGKGGTTAAAACATACTAAGATGTATTGTCCACTAATTTATTTTTTCTGTTTTTTCAAATGTTTTGAGCTCTTTATTTTCCAAATGACATGCTTGGGAATTAATGCTGTTGGCAGAAAAATTTTGAAAGGCTAAGAGTGTAGTTTAAATAAAGAAGAATGAGAAATATTCCCAAAAGTTTTAGTGCACAAAGTTGGAGGTTACTGTTTTTTTAATTTTCCTATGCTTGTATATCAATGAAGCTTCCAATATACAATTTAGAAAAACTAAACTTAGTGGAGATTCAGGAAAACTCTGAACTATTACATGAGATGCTAAACAGGTTTGTATTTTGTAAGATAACAGCCTCCATCTTATTCAACTTCTTGTTCTGAAGTTGTTCCTCTGTGTTCAGTCAGTTTGATCACTTAAGTTTTGACTGGGTGATTCACTACACTGATTTTTATATTTAAAAAACAGTTAAAGGCTATTTTTCAGATGCCAATTCTACAACATCCAAGCTTTGACAGAGTTGTTGTACTAAACTGAAAATAAATCCCAAGATGTGCATATGATAATGGATAAATTACATCAAAGTGCTAATAAATTGGATTAGATATTTACAAAATGAAATTCAGATTAGGGAAGTATACCACTGCAGGAGATATGTTGGGTGAAAAGCCTTGTTTACATGTATAGCAAAAGCACCAAAGGATGAGCTCAACTCATATTTCTAGGACAGTGTTAKCACTTCAGATTACAGACTGCGCATGTAATTTCACTTGAGAGGAGACAGCGTAGAACCGTCCAAGGTTCCTGATGCTACAGAATGTTCATGCCCTTATCTTTCATTCAGCTCCTTTATGTGCAGGTTTGTAGAGATTTACCAGATGAAATGAAGCCATGTAGTGAGCAATTACCTGAGGTGGAGGGTAGCTCTCTGAGTCATTAATTTGTCTACTGTTGTCTGTCTTCACTTTAGTCTTGTTACCTTCCTTGACTTTGCACTGTGCATATGTTGCTTTTCATTTCCTTCTTTCTACCCAACTGTCACCTATTTCTTGGATTGCATTAGAGTGTATGTCAGTGACAGATACTTGTTCTGGAAATCTCATGTCCTGAGATTATCAAACAATCTATTTTCTTGGCAGAGCAGGGCAGTTGTTGCTTTAGGACAGGTCTCTGATATCCTGTGGTCATCTGTATGTGCTTCCTASAACAGATAACACGCTTTTCAGCGCAGCTTTCAGCAGAACGACCCTCACATGAAACTTAACTCTGAAATCTAATCAATTCACAGAGGGAGGAGTAGGTACAGAGGAAAAGATGGTGAAGCCATGACAAAACCCTTAAAGACAACTTCTGTTACCATGAGTGAACAAAATGCATTCATTTTAGCCATCTGGTAATCAGATCCAGCAGACAAATTAGGGAAGGACTAGTGGAGAGTAGGACCCGATAAATCACAGAAGCAAAATACACAGGCTGTTCCCAGCTTTCTCAAAGATGGTAAACTTAAAAGGTGTATTTTAATCCTTTAAAATTACTCTATTTTGTATCATTTAAGATAGGTTACAYGTACTGTCAAACTCTATGCAATTTCTTTGCCTTCTCCAGATATAATTCCTATACTTGCAGAAATTTATACCGTTGACATCATATCTTCCAGGCTGTCATATTCATTTCACTGTGGATCAGCTAGCTCTGCTGCTGGTGTCTGATTAGAATTCACTGTGAGGGATTTTATTTAGTTCCTACTGAGGCTAGAAAATGTGTCTTCCTCAGACATTTCCCTTATTTCAGAATAAGTTGAGAGTTAGGATTGCACTAAACACTGTCATTCAGTCTCTGGAACTGTGAATGGGACACAACATGAAAATAATTGTAAACTCAGGGGAAGAACAGAAAATTAATTTCTTTCTTAGATTTTTTTTTTTCTTTCAGTGAGTCTGTCCTTTCTGTCAGGACTTGCAATTTAGAAATCTTAGGTGTCAGAGTTGTATCTTACAAACTTGAGCCATAAAACTCCCTATTTGTGYGCCTTATTTTCAGAGGCATCTATGGGGGTTGCTGGTGTTCAGTTTCTTTAATATTGCACGCAAACATTTTGACATTATGAATGCAACTTGCAGTAGATAGCTTATAATTTTAATTAAAAGAATTAATTTTCRTATTTATTTTACAAAGGCCTGAAATGCAAATATATTTCTATTGTCAGTGGTTTTGTTTAAAAAAAAATCTGCTGATAAGAGCTACTTAGAAGAGCAGAAAAGAAATTGAGAATTTTAGTAATCATTTGACTCCAATGGACAACTCTGTGTTAGTGTATATGAGTAAGAAATTTTGCACTTGTTTGTTCATAATGGGAAGAAAATGGAAGAAGAGAAAATGCTTTCCTTCATTAAAAGCTGCGGTTAACCTTGTGAAATCTTAACTGTATCACTTGATACATACAGCTTGCTCATACAACCGTTGAGTTTTAACTTTCTCCCTGTATGTGAACATGATTGTTACAAATGTGGTGCTTCCCAGAGGTGTTTTCTCTTGTTCCAGTTAGCTATCCTGTTTTCTGTCAGTTCCTGAGTTTTACTCAATTTGTCCTTCAGTCCAACACCAACTGTTTAATGTTTGCAGTTGATTATGAGGTGGATGGAGCACTGGCATTTGATCTCCTRTTATTTTGGTGCTGAAGTCATGTGTCTTCTTCGAAGTTCCTTCTGTGCTTCTGCTGGGTTTTGTTTGGTTTCTTCCCCAAGCACTTTCCTTTACTAAGCATATGAAGTGGCAGCATTGACTGCAGCTATGTTCCTAATCTGTAGTAACTTGGGCTTTAGCTTAGAATAGATCAATTAAGCAGCTTCTGAAACTCGGATAGATCTTTGTTATTTGGCTCTTGTTGTTTCATAATCTGTAAATGTTTGAACTGTTTTCTTCTCCTACTTCTGCACACCAAATACTTGAAGTTTCTCAATGGTGATGTCCTTCAGTTGTACCACATTGAGTATAAAATTTTCTAATGCTGCTTAGATCTGTTGGACCACAGTTGAATTATATTCACCATTTTCAGCATCATTTGTGCTTTCAAAGTTAATGTCAAGTGTCATTTATTTTGATGATAATGACAGTTCTAACCAAGACCAGGAATTGTGGGCTTAGGCTGAGTTTCCAGGAGGAAATGTCATTTTTCACAGCGAGTCATGCCGAAGCCAATGTAACATACCTATCTGCTGGAGAAATTTTTAAAACTCCAACCACCCTGGTCTGTTTCAACAAATACTGTGGTATTTTTGTATTTATTTTCTTTTAATGCCTAAGTGCTTGTCTAAGCAGAGAGATACTGTGGTAGTGTAGTGGGCTTGATGGAGGAATTATCTGGTTTCAACATGAGTCTGTCAAAACATAAGCTTGATGTCAGCAATGTGTAGCAAAGCTTAAATAACATTCTACAGTATTTTACATGGAGTTTGGCTATTCTACTTGAGAAAAAATGCTGATTATTATAACAATGAAGTATAAATGAAATTTCTTTTGTGCTGTCTCCTCCTTTCAGAGGCATATTCAGTGAATGCATTTTTATTGTAATTTACTGCTATGATAAGTATGATAACTTACAATGGATTATGATAGGCTTTTTCCTTTGAGATGTGCTAGGTCTGTGTGTGCATGACAAGAAACAAGAGACTGGCAGGAAACAAAATACCCCCTATAAAGGACATTGGTTTGAATAACTTCACAATAAGTTTTTTTCCCATTGATTACTTTTGCTGTAGTCCTCTGGTACCAGCATGTCATGCCATTTGACATACAGAAGTATTTCTCTCAATAATGAATAGGTTTTATGGCCAGGAAAACACAATTCTGAATATTTGAACCAAAGAGAAGGTGCAGCTAGCAACAGTTAGTTGTGACCTTTTATGATAACCTGGGATAACATCTCCTTCCTGAACGCCACCATCTTGAGCCACTGTGTTTTCTGGAAATGGGATGCATTTGTTGTGGAGAGATGATAGACTCTGTATCTAACCAGGAAATAAATC